CAAAATTCCCTTCCATCCTCTACCCTCCAACTACTGAATTCTCCTCTTATCAGGCAACCAAGGTTATCAGATTTTTGCTGTATGCTCACAGATTCTGGGCTTCCCTGTAGTGCCTCAGCTGGTAAAGAATCTGCCTGTGACGCAGGAGACTTGGATTCGATCCCTGGGTTGGGAAGATGCCCTGGAGAAGGAAATGGCGACCCTCTCCAGTATTCTTCTTGCCTGGAGTATCCCATGGACAGAGGAGCCTGGCAGGCTACAGTCCATGGGGTCGCTAAGAGTTGGACATGACTGAGCTACTAACACTTTTACTTGCACAAAGATTCTCCGTATGCAGAACAAGCATGTTTTTTATTTTTCCGACATTAACACAAGGCATGATGCTGTCAAGTTTTGCATTTTGCTTTTTTTTTTTTTTGCACAGTGATGTATCTTAGTAATTGGTCCATAACAGCTGCACAGAGGCACTCTGTCCTTTTTCATGGCTGTATAGTATTCCACAGCTAATATGCTTAAGTGTGAGTGGACATTTAGAGTGTGTCCATTCTCTTATTATGAATTCTGCTGACGTGAATAACTTGTTGGGGACGGTCTAGGGCTGTGAAGAGAGATGCTAGCGTGAGGCATCCAGGTCTCCATGTACCTGGACAGTGCAGACCTCCCCACTCTCTGTGCATTTGACAGCCTCTGCCTGGGTCATCTGAGAAATTCCTGAATGTGTGTGGATCATTGCTTCCTGCTTAGAGCTCATCTCCATACACTTAATAATAACAATAATATGACTCATATTGCCTTGATTCTGAACTGTTTTCAAAAATAAATTTTAAAAAAATTTAAAAATGAGATAGAAGCAACCTAAATGTTCATCAGCAGATGAAGGGATAAAGAAGATCTGGTGTGTGTGTGTGTACATATATATATATATTCATATATATATATGAATATTACTCAGCCGTGAAAAGGAACCATATAATGCCATGGATGCAACATGGATGGACTTGGAGATGATCATACTAAGTGAAGTCAGACAAAGACAAATACCATGTAGTATCACTTAGATGTGGCATCTAAAAAAATGATACAAATGAATTTATTTACAAAAGAGAAACAAACTCACAGACTTTTAAAACAAACTTATGGTTACCTAAGACGGAAGGGTGAGGAGGGATAAATTAGGAGTTTCCAATTAACATACACACACTATTATATATAAAATAGATGACCAACAAGGACCTACTATGTGGCACAGGGAACTATATTCAATACTCTGTAATGATCTATATGGGAAAAGAATCTGAAAAAGAATATATATATATATATAGGCTTCCCAAGTGGTGCTAGTGGTAAAGAACCCTCCTGCCAACGCAGGAGACGTGAGAGGTGAGGGTTCGATCTTTGAATCAGGAAGATCCCCTGGAGAAGGGAACGGCAACCCACTCCAGTACTCTCGCCTGGAGGGTCTCCGCAGACAGAGGAGCCGGGTGGGCCACAGTCCATGGGGTCGCGCAGAGTCGGACACGACTGAAGGGCCTTAGCACGGAATGCATGTATAACTGGATCACTTTGCTGTATACCTGAGGCTGAGGCGACTTTGTAAATTAACCACCATCCAATATAAGATAAAAATCAAATTAAAAGATAAATGAGAGCTTATTCAGTGTGCTGAGAAGAAGCATATAATATTTGACAACGCAGACGTTGAAAGCCCTGTGCACTCTTCCATCAGCCTCTTTCCTGGGCGGCAGAGGAGGCGCGAATTTTCCATCCCGCTAATGGCTGTTTTAACTGCTCCATTCCGGGCTAAGAGGTTGACATTTAAGCGATAAATGTCACGTCTCGAAACCCAGCACAAAAAGACATTTCTACAGAACTGTTAAGAGCCCTTTTCACTTGCAAATTTCCAACCTGAGCCCATCTCCGCGGGCTTGCATTATTCATATAATTTGGAAAATGACTCACCGTTCCTGAGTCGTGATTGTCTGCAGGGCACAAGCCTTGAAAGGTGCCACGAAGCAGCTCTTTCCAGCTTTTAAACAAGACAAACATTCACCTTTTTTTTTTTCCCCCTCTCAAGTGTTATGGGATTATATTTTCTTACAGCAAAGGATTGCTCACACATTTTTAAAAGTTTCCATAATGCTTCTCACTGGGAGATGTAAAATACAGGGTGGGGGGAAATGTGCCTCGAGCTCATTTATACAGCTTAACACACTAGTTCCCAGGTAATAAAGGAAACAGGTCTCCCCAGGAAAAAACCGCCACCGCCGCCCCTCCTCCCGAGATAAACACCATGCCAGCTTTTAGGATAATAACTCCCCGGCTGCTCCTCTGAATTTCGCCCGCCCAGTAAACCACTGTTGACTTTTGTTTGTAAAACAACAACCTTTTCATTTGTTAAAATGTTGGTAATCCTTGTTTTGTTCTGTTTCTTTCTTTTCTCCCCAACTCCTCCACACCTCTCTCTTCTCTCCCATTTAAGGCGAATGAAACTGTTTTGTTTTTTTCTCCAGCATTGCTGGGATTCAAGTTGCTCCCTCTTTCTGAAAACCTTCATTGTGGCCCAATACACAGGACGTGAAATTTGCCCCCCACTGTTTTCAGCGTGCATTCAGTACACTCACGTTGCACGGCAGTGTTTCACTGCCTTTCACCTCCATAGCTCCTCCTCTTCCCCAGCTGAAACTCTGTCCCCATTTCCCCTCTGCCAGCCCCTGGGAGTCATCATCCTATCTTCTGTTTTTATGAATTTGGCTCTTCTGTTGTTCAGTCTCAGGTCGTGTCCCAGTCCTTGCGACCCCGTGGACTGCAGCACGCCAGGCTTCCCTGTCTTTCACTATCTCCTGAGTTTGTTCAAACCCATGTCCATTGAGTCGGTGATGCCATCCAACCATCTCATCCTCTGTCGTCCCCTTCTCCTCCTGCCCTCAATCTTTCCCAGCATCAGGGTCTTTTCAAATGAGTCACCTCTTCCCATCAGGTGGACAAAGCACTGGAGTTTCAGCTTCAGCATCAGTCCTTCCAATGAACACCCAGGATGATCTCCTTTAGGATGGACTGGTTGGATCTCCTTGCAGTCCAAGGGACTCTCAAGAGTCTTCTCCAGCCATGATTCAAAAGCATCTGTTCTTCAGCGTTCAGCCTTCTTTATGGTCCAGCTCTCCCAACTGTACATGACTACTGGAAAAACCACAGCTTTGACTAGATGGACCTTTGTCAGCAAAGTGATGTCTCTGCTTTTTAATTCGATGTTTAGGTTTGTCATAGTTTTCCTTCCAAGGAACAAGTGTCTTTTAGTTTCATGGCTGCAGTCACCATCCACAGTGATTTTGGAGCCCAAGAAAAGAAAATCTGTCACTGCTTCCCTTTTTTCCCCCTTCTATTTGCTATGAAGTGATGAGACCAGATGCCATGATCTTAGTTTTTCTCATGTTGAGTTTTAAGCCAGCTGTTTCTCCTCCTCTTTAAAGATACTAATCGATATTTGTATAACAAGTGAGAGAAGGAAGGAGTAAATTAGTGAACGGTGAGAAGAGCTGATTGTCACGCCCCAGACACTTGTCCAACTGTTAGAAAGCTGTGCTTCTTGCCCCGCAAAGGCCAAACACACTGGTTTTGAGCCCGCCTCGGCCTGCAGCGGCTTGAAGCAGCGTTTTTATTCCCAGCCAGAAACTGAAATCAGGCTCAGGCAGTGAGAGCTGAATCCTAACCAGCAGACCAGTGGTCAGTGACAAGGCCCTGACCCCTACGGTTTCGCAGAAAATGAAAATTCCCACAAAGAAACGGAAAGTAGTGAAACAACTCAGGTGTTTATTAGGAGGAAAAAGACCTCCGTACATGTGGATATACTCACAGGTGGACTCGGTGAGGGACTCGCACCCTCCTGGTGGTTAGAATCCTTGTGGCCAAAATCTTGGCCTTCTCTGCCACCCAAGCCGAATTAAAAAAAAAAAAACACACACACACACACAAAAAATGGACAGAGTTTGGAGGAAACAGGTGACTTTAATTCTCGGCCGTGGAGGTGGGGAACACAGTAGGCTCACCCTGCGAGAACTGTGGCCCCCAATTCCGTGAAGAGGCTAGGGGCTCATATAAGACCAGGGCTCACAGTCAGGAGTCAGGACGGAGAACAAAGGCATCAGGGTCTTGGCTTCTTCCTCTCTGCAATATTTCAAAACCAGTCGTAGGCTGGCGTTGGTAACCCAGTAATTGAGTCTGGTATCCATAGCCCTTCTTTCTGTAAAGCAGAGAGAGAAAAACTCACAAGAGGTGGCCTGCAAAGACAAGACTGTAAAGGTGAGCGCCAGATACAGGAGGTCATTAGCATAGAGTCAGTGGATAGTAGGTGCAAGATGTGGCTCCTGCAGGGTTAGGGGGCAGAAAGGCAAACTTAGTTACAGACAACCGACTAGGAACAGTTCACGTGAAAAGTAGGAGTAATCAGGCCTGCTCACTGTAGTCGTTCAGTCGTTCAGCCGCTCAGTCATGTCCGACTCTTTGCAACCCCATGGACTGCAGCACACCAGACTTCCCTGTCCTTCACCAGCTCCCAGAGTTTGCTCAAACTCATGTCCATCGAGCCAGTGATGCCGTCCAACCATCTCATCCTCTGTCATCTCCTTCTCCTTCCGCCTTCAATCTTTCCCATCATCAGGGTCTTTTCCAATGAGTCAGCTCTTCGCATCAGGTGGCCAAAGTATTGGAGTTTCAGCTTCAACATCAGTCCTTCCAATGAACACCCAGGACTGATTTCCTTTAGGATGGACTGGTTGGATCTCCTTGCAGTCCAAGGGACTCTCCAGAGTCTGCTCCAGCACCACGATTCAAAAGCATCAATTCCTCGGCGCTCAGCCTTCTTTGTTCTCAGGAAAGAAAACCTCGTTCCTCTTTTTTCCTTTTCCCTGCAAGAGAATCACTTTTCTGGGGCATTTCCTCTGGGTTTCCTCTGGCCAGTCATCTTGCTTTGCCTGGTTCTGAGTCTGTGTTTGGTTTAATCTCAGGTTCCGTCCCCATGCGTGTGGTCGTCTCTCAGCCAAGATGGATTCCGGTGACGAGGCCTATGGGTAGGTTAACATTCCTTTTCTGACCTCCAAGGGGCTCTGCAGTCGGGAGGCTCTCCTTGACCTCGAGAAGGAGAAGTATGCGGTCTCTTTTCTGGGCAGGCTCCCCTCCGCCTCCTCTTCGTCCTGCAGTCTGTCTGTAGGTGACAGACTCCAGCTGCTCCGCCAGAGGCTCATGTGTCTCTTGCCTCAGTTTTCTCCTTCTATAAAGCTGTTCTCCAAAGACACAGTTTTTTTCTTTTTCTTTTTTGCTGTACTACGTGGTATATGAGGTCTTAGTTCCCCAACCAGGAATTGAACCCTCACCCCCTGCACTGGAAGCCCAGGGTTCTAACCACTGGACTGCCAGTTGTTCAGTTGCTCTGTCATGTCCGACTCTTAGCGACCCCTTGGACTGCAGCACGCCAGGCTTCCCTGTCCTTCACTGTCTCCTGGAGTCGAAACTCATGTCCTGGGTTGGGAAGATCCCCTGGAGAAGGAAAAGGCTACCCACTCCAGTGTTCTGGCCTGGGTCGCACAGAATCAGACACGACTGAGCAAATTTCACTTTCACTTTTTCACTTTCAGGTCCACTGAGTCGGTGATGCCGTCCAACCACCTCATCCTCTGCTGTCCCCTTCTCTTCCTGCTTTCAGTCTTCCCCAGCATCAGGACCAGGCAAGTCCCCAAAGACACAATTTATTTAACACACATTGATACACAGTCCTCAGCCCCGCAGACTGAAGTCTCAAGCCCATGCTTCCTCTCTGGACCTCCCAGTCGGGCCAGTTTCGGGGTCCCCTATTCCAGTGTCCACATTCCCTCTTCAAGCCCCTGGGTGATGGAAGCAGGCTCAGGTAGTTGCCATGGAAACCAGTGCTCCCGTGAGCTGCAAAATGATTTCTGAAATTAAGTGTAAAAGCCAGGTCTGAACGACTGCGAGTGAAAGTGCTATTATTTGTTGTTAGAAAAAAAAAAAAAGAAGAAGAATTGAGGCTAGAAATAAATGCACATTCTCAAAGAATATAGAAGGACACACAAGAAAACTGTTCACTGGGAAGGGTGGGAAGAGACAGAAGAAACAGTGACCAGCGTGGGAGGTGCGTTTGTTTCTGCTTTATCGTTTCTCTCCTGCTCTCATGCAAGCGATCACCTTTCCTAAAATTAAAAATGAACACGAGCGTCTAGAAAGTTGTAGCCACTGATACAAAGTTCTGAGTCCAGTCTTTCAGCTTGCACCAAAATTACATCAGTGAAAGGTAGATGATATGATTACTAAATAACAAACAACAAAAACAACAGCAAAGTGCTTCTCTTTGGGAAAAATAAGCCCAGGACTGACTTTAATAAACCTAATAGAAATACCCATATTTCTGTAAGCCATGTTGGAAGAAACGATGAACTGTCAAGGGAGGGAGGCTCCCGAGAGAGGTGATTATACATGTAGTTACGGCTGCTTCCGCTGCTGTTTGGCAGAAACCAACCCAATGTTGTAAAGCACTTTTCCTCCAATTAAAAAATAAGTAAGCAAAAGAGTTAAATTGTCAGTAAAGAAGAAAGTAAGTATCTCAAGTGAATAGTGAACTGCAAAATTTAACAAGTGAGTCATGAAGGGAAACGCAAAAACAAGAAAGGAATATTACTTGGCCATAAAAAAGAATGAAATAAGGCCATTTGCATCACCATAGATGGACCTAGAGATCATCATACTAAGTTAAATAAGTCAGATAGAGAAAGCCAAGTATTATATGATATCATTTATATGTGGAACCTAAAATATTATATAAATGAACTTATTTACAAAACAGAAATATTAAAAAAAAAAAAAAAACTATCAAAAACAAAATGGAAATATACCCAGAGATAGAGAAAATAAATTTATGGTGACCATAGCATAAAAGTGGGGAAGGGTGAGGGATAAATTAGAACTTTGGGATTAACAGAGCCACACTACTGTGTATAAAATAAATTCAATTTTTAATTTAGTTTTCTGTATTCTAGGTGGATGTTTGCTAATATGGCAACCTGTAGCTAACAGGCCAATACAGGCAGTATAATTAAGAGAGCTGTTAATGAGATAAGTAGGTAATATATATGCAGATCCAGTAACTATTTTTTTCTAAGCCTCATTAACTGGTAGGGGTGGGCTGGACCGGGAAGGCTCAGCGGTTGCCATGGGAACCCAGCTCGAGGGGGAAGGAGGGCCTGGGAAGGGGGAGGAGAGAGGCCCCCAGACTCTGGACTCCAGGTGGGACTCAGAAGTGGGGGAGGAGAGGGGAGGGGTCACAGCTGGAACAGGGTGGCCCCAGGGGTGTTTACAGAGTGGAGAATGAGATGCAGGGTCGCGGTGAGCAGTTCAGCTCGGGGGAGTAATCTTTTCTAGCTCATTGTGTCCTTGCAAATATCAGATGATGTTTATAAAGCATATGGTGCATTTCTGAGGTTTCCATGGTGACAGGCCAACACTAGGCAAGAGAATCACCTGTTCTGATGGGGGGATGGACTTGATGAAAATGCAAACTCTTGAGGCTTTCCTCAGCCCGAGGAAGTAACTCTCTTGGTTAGAGAACTGTACTTCTCGAGGTGTAGCAGGAATCTCTCTTAGCCTTCTGTCTGTCTGTCTCTCTCTCTGTCCATCTATCTCTATGAATATACGTGATTTGTTTGCTCTTCAATACCGGCTGAATTAAAATTATTCTCCCTTGACTGTCATCTCCCACCCACTCCAGTGTGTCCCGTGAAAGCAGAGGTCTTTCCATCTGCTTCCTTCAATTCGTGGAAAACCACAGTTCTGGCTTGAATGGGGTCTCCCAAGACTCAGATTTTGAAGTCCTAGCCCCTAGTCCCTCAGAATGTGACTGTGTCTGGAGACAGGGTTTTTAAAGAGGTGATTAAGTTAGAACAGGGTCATTAGGATGGCTCTTAATCCCATCTGTGGTTGTTCAGTCGCTCAGTCGTGTCCAACTCTTTGCAACCCCATGGACTGCAGCACGCCAGGCCTCCCTGTCCATCACCAACTCCGGGAGCTTGCTCAAACTCATGTCCATTGAGTTGGTGCTGCCATCGAACCATCTCATCCTCTGTTGTCCCCTTCTCCTCCTGCTTTCAGTCTTTCCCAGCATCAGGGTCTTTTCCAAGGAGTCAGTTCTTCTCATCAGGTAGCCAAAAAGGATTGGAGTTTCAGCTTCAGGGTCAGTCCTGCCAGTGAATATTCAGGACTGATTTCCTTTAGGATGGACTGCTTAGATCTCCTTGCTGTCAAAGGAACTCTCAAGAATCTTCTCCAACACCACAGTTCGAGAGCATCAATTCTTCAGTGCTCTCTGGTGTTCCTATAAAGAAAGATTATCAAGAGGGAGAGGACATATGTATACCTATGGCTGCTCCGTGTGATTGATGCATGGCAGAAACCAACACAGTATTGTAATTATCCTTCAATTAAAAATAAATAATTTTTTTTAAAAAAAGAGGAGAGTAGAATATAAAAACACAGAAAGAAGACCATGGCCATTTACAAGTGGAGTCTTCAGAAGAAACCAAGGCTGCTGACACCTCGATCTTGAGCTGCCAGAATGAGGAGAAAATCAATTTCTGTTGGAACTCATCAGGTAGCCAAAAAGGATTGGAGTTTGAGCTTCAGGGTCAGTCCTGCCAGTGAATATTCAGGACTGATTTCCTTTAGGATGGACTGCTTAGATCTCCTTGCTGTCAAAGGAACTCTCAAGAATCTTCTCCAACACCACAGTTCGAAAGCATCAATTCTTCAGTGCTCTCTGGTGTTCCTATAAAGAAAGGAGATTATCAAGAGGGAGAGGACATGTGTATACCTATGGCTGCTCCGTGTGATTGATGCATGGCAGAAACCAACACAGTATTCTAATTATCCTTCAATTAAAAATAAATAATTTTTTTAAAAAAAGAGGAGAGTAGAACATGAAAACACAGAAAGAAGACCATGGCCATTTACAAGTGGAGTCTTCAGAAGAAACCAAGGCTGCTGACACCTCGATCTTGAGCTGCCAGAATGAGGAGAAAATCAATTTCTGTTGGAAGGCCCACCCCCTGCCCCCAGTCTGTGGCACTTTGTTATAACAGCCCTAGCAACCTAACACACTCACCCATTTTTTTTTTTAAAGGTTGTGTTTAAAAAGCAAGAAACAGTCTGAAAACATGTGCTTATAATTGATTGGAAAGCAATTACTTAACATCTTAGAAGCACCATAAAGTCTACAAATATTAATAATAAATGCTAGAGAGCATGTGGGGAGAAGGGAGCCCTCCTACACTTTTGGTGGGATGTAAATTGGTGCAGCCACAATGGAGAACAGTACAGAGGCTCCTTAAAACTCTGAAAACAGAGTTAACATATGATCCTGCAGTCCCACTCCTGGACATAGGTCTGGAGAAAAACGTGGCTTGAGAGGACACATGCATGCCAGAGTTGTCTGCAACGCTGCTCACAGCAGCCGGCGAGATGTCCATCCACGAGGAGTGGACAAAGAAGGGGTGGTGTGCACACTGGAGTATTACTCAGCCATGACGAAGAATGAGGCGCTGCCATTCGCCGCAGCTCGGAGGGACCTACAGACTGTCACACCGTCACAAGTGAAGCACGTCAGAGGAAGGCAAGTGTCATATGAGATCATTTATATGTGGAATCATAAAAGATACAGATGAACTTACAAAACAGAAATATGACTCACAGGCACAGAAAACAAGTTTATGGTTACCAAAGGGTCGAGAGGGGAGGGATAAATTAGAAGTTTGAGATTAACAGGTACACCCTATTATATATAAATTGATAATCAACAAGGTCCCACTGTATAGCACAGGGAACTCTACTCAATATCTTGTAATAATCTATAGTGGAAAAAATTATATATTATAGGAGATTGTAAAATATATAGCATATATAAAAAATGCTTCCCAGGTGGCACAGTGGTAAAGAATCTACCAGCAATGCAGGAGATGAGGGTTCCCTTTCTGGATTGGGAAGATCCCCTGGAGAAGGACATAGCAACCCACTCCAGTATTCTTGCCTGGAAAATCCCATGGACAAAGGAACCTGGCAGACTACAGTCTATGGAATTGCAGTCAGACTTGACGTAGCGACTAACCAAAAACAACGTAGATACATATGTATAACTGAATCAATTTGCCATCACCTAAGACATTGTAAACCAACAATAAAAGATGGAAAAACTTATATTAGAAACTCTTTAAACAAAACCCTGCAGGACTCAAACGATCTGGACTTTGGAGACCCATGTGTGAATTTCGGCAGAAATGCCGATCCACAAACTGGGTCTGTTGTTCCCAGTGCTTAGTGGGACTCCCATCCGGTTATCCCCCGGGAGTGTGGGCAGTAGTCAGGAGGAAACACGTGGCCTTGGGGTGAGTGGTGGGAAATGGCAGCATCATTCCCTCTTCAGTGCCCTCCCCGCCCCACCCCCAAGCCCATGGGCATTCCACACTCCCCAAAGGAGCTGGAGCAAGAGTTTGAAGCCCTCACGCAGACCAGTGACTTTCCCTCTGCCACCCGAACATGCATCTTTGCAGTGGACTTTCCAGGGGATATAGAATGAAATCCCACGTCCTCACCCGGACAACATACTGGAGGAGGAATTTGCAAACATCTACAAAATTCACAGGCACATTTTCCCTCTGGCCCACAGGCCATTGATCAATACTTAATCTAAACCACAAGCACATGCAACCTTGAATCTGCAACGGCTCCCTGAGTTCATCCAAGAGTCAGAGCAGAATTCGGGTGAAGTAACATCTGTGCAGTCATAGATCGTTCACTGCACTGGGGCATTATCGTCGTTATTTCTGTAGCAGAAACACAACAGAAATGTGTCAGGAAGTCAGCCTGTGAAATTACAGCAAATCCACTCGTGGAACGTTCCATAGCCGTTAAGAAAGCAGAACATCTTTGTGCCTGCAAGGAGATCAAACCCGTCAATCCTAAAGAGAATCCACCCTGAAGATTCATTGGAAGGACTGCTGCTGACGCTGAGGCTCCAGTACTTTGATCACCTGATGGGAAGAGCCAGCTCATTGGAAAAAACCCTGATGCTGGGAAAGATTGAAGGTGGGAAGAGAAGGGGATGACAGAGGATGAGGTGGTTGGATGGCATCACCGACTCAATGCACATGAGTTTGAGCAAGCTCCGGGAGCTGGTGATGGACAGGGAGGCCTGGCGTGCTGCAGTCCATGGGGTCGCTAAGAGTCGCACGTGCCTGAACGACTGAACAGCAACAGCTTTGAGCCTTAATGCGGGATCAAGACGTGGTGTTAAGTGATAAGGACAGAGTGTCAAACAGCACAATGCCAGCCACGCTCTGTGTCTGTGAAAAGAGACGGAAGGGCGAGAACATAAGGCTATAAGTTGCCACTGATTTATGTATGGAACACTCTGCAGGGAGACCTAGGAACTGGCAACGGGCTTTGTCTCAAGAACAAGTGTTGGTAAGCTTTTTCTCTAAAGGGCAAGTACTCAGCTCTGCCACTGGGCTGGCAAAAGCAGCCACAGACAATTGTACGGAATGGAAATGACTGTGTTCCAATAAAGCTTT